TTACCAAAGTCTACTAAAACATTTTGGCATATTTTTGAGCGCCATGTACCACATAAAATCAGTTCGATGTCAGTAAGCACAACCAGAATTAATACATAAGGCGCACCGGATTATAAGGTGCAGTGACGATTTTTGAGAAAATTTATAGATTTTAATGCACCTTATAGTCTGAAAAATACGGTAATACTTTTTTTTTAGGTTTACTTAAAAGGACTATTGTAATTTATAAGCATTCTTTTTCACCATAGAGGGAAAGGGAACAGTGGGAGATTTTTCAGTCTGTAACATGATGTACTTTTATCAGAGCACTTTTGTTGATTCTGTGAGAGCAAAACTGTGCTATCACTGAATAATAAAGTTGAAAAGATTCAAATGATCTCTATTTAAACGACAGTAGTTGAGCTGTGCAAACATAAATAAAACCCTCTAGGCTTTTTTGTCTTGTTTTAGAGATTACATTCCCTTTTTAATAAATAATATAACATGGGAACATATTAGAGCAATCTAGTGACAGTATTGCCTATTTGACACCATATGTCCATTCATAAATGATATACATGTATAAACAGATTACATATTCATGCCATTTCACTGTAAATTACCAAATGCCGAGCTGAAGGATTGAGGTGCATTGCCTGGTTCTCGCCCTTCACTCCTTGTTTTCATTGTTGACAATGATTTCAATCAACAGTGAAAATGCGTATCATCCCTGGCAGTCTTTATAAGGCTCTTGCTGGTGGTTTATTGAAAGAGGAATTTGAAATGCATGTATTTTCCACCTGAGAGGGTCCGCTGCAGGGGCGACAATGAACCGTACCGATCCAAATCACTTCCATCAATGCTGCCAGATGAAATGCAAACACAATCAAATCAGTCTGGTCTGTATGACAATGCTCCCGCTCAAACGCCAATCTTCCTTCTCCTCATCATGGAAAAATCATAGAGTAGGAGAATCACCTAATCTATGCAAACACACTGTCACTATTGATCTGCTGGAGGGGGATATGTCTTTATTAGGGGCTGCCAGATGACGCCTTCCTCCAGCGTATAGAAGGGATGACCTGGGAGAGTGCTATAGGGTGGTATGGGGATTGGGATGCAGTCAGAGCCATAACAATTGAGATAAGTTACTGAGGACAGGTAATGGGAACCGATAGACTCTGGAGCAGGGATCGATGGTGGACACTGATACCGAGAGAGGAAGGACAAATCGTGACATCCCGACCCTTTTTCATGTTCAAAGTAGCTTCTGAAGAGAGGGTCTTCCAAACAGTATTCCCCCAGCAATTCCCTTAAGAAAAATGTGATATATGTCACCATAAACCATGAAACAATGAAACATTGTGTAATCTTATTCAAAATTAATGGCCAAATAATAACAACTTCACTTTTGAGTGTAGTTCACATTTTCAGAATGAGCTGAAAATATTCATACAAACATATAAATCTTCTGACTGTCATAAAAATCAATAGCCAGATACAAATGTATTACTATAACTAGTCAACATCCCTTGACACTCATTATGAAGTATCAATACTGAACAAAACCCCCACATAAAAAGGGCAAAATTGACAAATTTTCGAATTATCTATGTCTATATCAGAAGTAATAAAAAACACATGATAATATTAAGAAACAATTATTTTGTACTTGTATTTTGTTCATGTCATTCCATTTGGTTAAAAATGTGTTTTTATACTCATCATGTGTTGAAATCTCTATCAAGTATCTAGCTCAAAGCTTTTTTTGTGTGTTGAAATAGAGCTTGAAGTGTTAGTATTATGACATTATCAGCTATCCAAAAAAGAAACCACTTTATAATTGATTCAAATGATCATCGTGACTGTGAATGCTCCTCTCCTCTATGGCCGTGACACTTGGACAGTAACTTATGCCATCCAGGTGAGCAGTGCAGACATTGAGCTCTTGTCCTCCAGCACTGAATCACTCCTCCTCTCCACACCTGTCTGCTGGGGTCAGAGGTCGTGTCCGCTGCAGCCCGTTATCCACATGTCATGTTTTTAGCCAGCCAGTCTTGAATACTGAGTAGTCTGACTGAAACATGTCCAAGATCACTTATTAATTCAAAGCCCTTCACTTATTTTATTTTAGATGTGAGTCTGAGTCAGGTGGGATGGGCTGGAATGGAGCAGGCTGAATATTGCCTCTGCTCTGCTGGGTCACCACACATCGGTCTCATATTATTGTGCCATCTCAGATTCATAAATGATAAAATAGAACCAGAAAACGCACCATTTTGTCCAGTGAAATTGACTAGTTAGTAGTCTGTCTAGTTAATATCAACATAGAATCATAAGCACACAATTTATTCACACAATTAAATGTAAATAACACAACAATATTATATTAAAATAGTTGTTTATAGTGCATAAGGTAATAGTAATAATTATTATGTTTTCAGACCCATCTCAAACTTGGGCCTGAATCGCCACACAGCATTTATCTTCACAGTTGTCACTCACACCTCTCCATGGTGTTGTGAGTGAAAACTCATTCTGTGACATTTCTGACAACTCCTGAATCTTTTTATCACAAAATATGCCACTTATGTGACAATACAAAACAAATCAAGAGGTGCTGACACTACATTCTGATAACTCATTGAGCTCCATGCACTTATATTTGGAATCAAGGCTTGACATTCTTAATACCATGCCGTTTTTTTCTAAGATGAATAAATACACCATCAAGTCAAAATCAAGTCAATATGTTTACCACAGATAACGTGTGCATTGCGTATGTGCATTTCATCTGTTGAAGGGCAAACTATTCAGAAGTCATTCAGAGCACAGTTTTGGGCCGAGGTCAGAGGGAGTTAGGAGGGATATTTCTCAAAGTTCCTTTTTTACAGAAAAGTACTATTTTGAGAAGGTGATATTTCACTGTGGCACTGGGTATAAATTGTCAATCAATTCCTGTCAAGTCGGATAAGTCTCCAAACCCCCATTTCTCCAGCTGGAGGTGCGATGTTGATATCAGTGTGGTGACAGAAGTCTCGGTTGCTTGGCAACAGGTCTGAGTCCGAGTCCAGAGTGGCGCGGGTGAGAGCATGGACATGTCTCGCACAACAAGTCAGATTTAGCACAAGAGGCTCACGTGTTTGTATCCGGGCGGATTAGACGCAGTACAGTCCTGAGGGCAGAGCTGACATTAAACAGACAAGTGTTTGAGGGATCGATGGGAAGAGCTGAGACTCTGACCAGAGACTGGCCCCTCTCCACAAAGTCCACACCACACATCTGTCATCTGCATGTGGACCAGCCGGGCTGGGACCAGGCCTACTAACTTCACAAGACCCTCCAAAGAAGGTGGACTAAAAATACATATGTGGAAAATTCTGAGGATCAACCATGTCTGGTTCACCAGTACTGACCAAATTATGAGAAGACATTAGAGGATAATTTTCACACAAGGTCTCTCCCAAAGAGTATGAATTCATTATCTTTGGTCAAACCTTTTTCAAATGTAGAGCAGTAACAAAACAATTGCAATTTGTCTCCCATGAACTACCATTATCTGACCACAGAATTAAATCCATTAAATCCACAAAGAATACATTCACTGAAAATAAAAAATAAATAAAATAAAATACTGATGTACTACCAACACCAACATGTAGCGGTGTGGCTTCTGACAATCTGCCTATAATAAATTAAAGAGGATTTTTGCAATTGTAAAGAGATTTTAATTTTGATCCTCAGTAAGCAGTGGAGAATATAGACTTTTAGGTGTGATTAAATCAATATACTCTTAAATAATTTGTCTTAAATGTGTGTTTTAGTTCTTTAGAAAATGTAAAAGATCAGAGCAGACACATAACTTTGCTTGTGTAAATCAGTATAAAATGTACAAGTGTGCATGTGTCCACTCTTGCCTCATTTCTAATCAGGTACTGAGCAGCAAAGGGGTGGTTTGAACACCAGAATCACAGCACATCAGTGTCATATGTATTTATGACAGAACTGACGGAGGCGGGGGATTGCAGACAACAAGAGAGGAAAACAAACAGGTCTCCAAGGTGATGGCGACGATTTCTGCGAGTGAAACCAATGTGCTTATTATGAGACTGGCAGCCTAAACAGGCCGGAGGATGAGCCAAGAGCCTGATGGAGCACGGTAATCACTGGCAAATTATAAAGCCCCAGTTTCTGAACGGAAACACTTTACATAATGCATCTATGGAAGCCGCACATGTCATACATCTGCAGCAAACAAAGCCCTAAACAGGTGACGACAAGGGCTCTAAAAGTGGCATCAAGAGAATCGGATATGAAATAATTAAGTCTATACATTACAGTCATACAGTTCAATTTTAAATAGTTTAACTGTGGTATATAAAACTAGCTAAGAAATAAGGGGTCCTTATTATTGTGAACTGATTTGATAAACTAGTATGTTCACAAATCTGCTGATTTGATGTATTGTTGATGTATATAACATCTGAGACCATTCAACCACATTTAGACTGAAGTCCTACGACCTAATCGACAAAGTGGGCTGCATTAGGGAGGGCATCAGGCATCAAATTCAATTACCACTCATTAGGATCCTTAAGTAAAGGTTTAGCAGATTCTGTTAACAGCTGTGGCACCCCAGAAGTGATCAAATAAAAAAATGAAATAAATGACAAAAGCATGGTATGAATTTCAACTCACTTGCCTTATTGTGCCCTAGTGGTTTCAAACCGGAGCAAGCCACAGTCTTTCAGAATTAGAATTGTCCATTTATGACCGCATATTAATTTGATGGAATAAGTTTTTACTACAGCATTTTAAAAGCTGAGATACAGAACTGTCAATCACAAACACAAGTTCACAGCTTAGTTCAGTGTCAAAATAGCAGAATAGTAGAGTATGGTAGAGTGCATGATATAAATAATATTTACCACTAACATTTGCAAGTATTGTATTCTTTAAACTTTTAGTTTTCTCTTTGATTAAAATGTTTTCAATTGTTTTTTGTTTCAAGTGCATCATACCTGTGTTTGGATCCACTGATCTCTCGATGAGGTGATCGTCTTGGTGCACCCACTCTCCATTACACTTAAAGTAGATCTGTGTGGCTGGAGTGGAGCGGCACGTCAGAGTCACCGGTTTGTTCTTCACTATGAATTCGTCCTCTGGCTCCACCAGGAAGTGAGGAAACAGGTCTGTGAAGGAGGAGGGCAGCGTAGATGTAGCAGTGTGTTCTGAACCTTTGGGGGAAAAAAAGAGAAAAAAACATGTCAAAAAATGCTTTTAAGTTCACAAGCTGTCAGCTTAGAGTTGAACCCATATAAAAAAAAAAAATAATAATAATAATAAATATATATATATATATATATATATATATATATATATATATATATATATATATATATAATTTTTTTTTCACAGATTATTTTTACACATGGAAAAACACAACAGTAACACATTAAGGTGCAGTGTAAAATGTAAATTCAAATTATTTGCAAATGTTATTTTAGAAAAAAATGCAAACCAAGACAAAGATGATGCAACATCATGTAGCATGTCTTCCCCCATTTTTAACTGTCTCTAATTTGTCTATAATTTAAAAGTGTTGCTGCCATTAAATTAATCATGATGTTTGGATTATTTCTTTGTGTATTTTCAAACTGTTGCTTTTCTGCTGCTACTTCTGTTCCAACAGTGGATCAGACAATCAGGGTCCCCGTCCCTTGTACCACTTTCTCATTGTTGCGTCATGAAGTAAAATAAATTCATGATACTTTTTTTTTTTTTTCACAAAGAAATGAAGGCTTTTTGGGTGTACTGGCTTTGATGACTGTAATATGTTGATGTCTATTGCTATTCTAATTTCTGTGTGAATTTCGATTAATAGAAAAATAAAATACAGTTATTGAGCACCTCCCTCCATGTCTCATCACACATGTCCCTCTTTTTTCACAATTTGAGATGGTCACTCAATAGTGGATACTTTTTAGCACGTTTCTTCATCTTTGAAAAATAAGCATGGGCAGTATAAAGAGCTGAGAGAGAAAGCCGGAGGTGACAGCCCTCTGCAGCGTACAGTGTGCTCTTGGCCAGGTCAGAAGGGCAGCCAAGAATACGTCTTCTGCGGTGCTTTTAATCACAGCTCTTTACCATCATCGCTGAAAGTCCAACAGCCATAAATTCTGCATAGAGGCACTGTATAGCTCTGCTAACCCCGACTTGAGCCACATTAAGGGAGACAGGGACAGAAGCACTGAGGTTACACAGAAGTGACAGGACAGTATCAGCCTTTATTCACTGCGATGTTGGTAGGATGAATACAGGAGCTACTATCTGATGTGGGGGAGGCACTGGCGGTATAAACTGTCCTTCAGGGGGACAATGCTACTATTTACAGTCAATTCTTGTACATGGTGAAAAATAGATAAGGCAAATACTGATAACAGAGCTACAAATAAACCCATTGTTCACAAAGTTATATTTCATCTGAACATTTTGTGCATTGCTGTATTCCAGGACAGGTTTTAACAAATAAGATTTTAAAAATGAAATCGATGAGCCTTCTATCCATGGGTTTCAGAATGATGGACCGTTGCCATAGCAATTAACTAGTTAAAATGAAATCTATCATTTTATCATTTTGCAGGTGAAAAGTCCTCAGAATAGGAAGTAGAAACCCATGACTAGGGTAAATGGTCCTTTACACTAAAAAAGAAACAAGAATGACAGTAGATTTTAGTAGTATATTTTCCTTGAGTCCATACTAGCATTGTAAAAAATACTAGACGTCATTTAAACAAGTATTAGAGAATGTGTACCTTCTATATTCTTAATGTGATATCAAAATTGGGCAATCACTTAAGCCTATTATTTTGTACTGAAAATATCTGTAATTTTTTTGTGTGTTGCACTAGTTAAGATGAATAATTTTCATCAGATAAAAGAAATTCACAACAAACTTAACACTTGCCTTTGCACAGTACTATACTGGAATAGTAGGTGAAAACAGAATTGGACTAGACTAGAGGAAATCTGTTTTTATACCACCAATGCTCAGGGGAGGAGGGTAAAGCCCAAAATAAACCCCTTTAAAGTAGTGTAATATTAATACACTGTCCTAAATCCAATATGGACGTCAGAGAGGGCATTAGCAGTCTTTTCCATCACTCCCTGTCCCTTCTGATGAAACAGTTGCTCTGACCTCCCTCTCCTCTGCTCCATCCATGCTCGCTCGCCCTCATGCCCCGGTCACAGATAAAATTACCTAGCGTCATAAACACCAACAGTGGATAAAGACATTATCTTGTGCGGAGCCTCCCCCACTACACATTATACAAACGCATCTCTTCTCCTCCTCTTCAGTGCAGCTCCGACTTGCTAATTTATCAGAATGAGATACAGCCCGGGCACGCCACTGCTGCTGCCGCTCAAGCCCATTAATGTTTCGTGTACATGTTTAACTCTTAATGAAAACTAAATGTTCTGTGTCCAATGAAAGGCATACATCACCCACTGACACTTTGCCTTTTTCCGCCCATTTTCCAAACACATTTTCTCATACGCAGAAATGAAACTGTCATTAATGTGGCAGCGTGCTATTCACAACAACACTGACATGATTTAGTGCTTTCAACAGCACACTTTCTCACCCTCGCAACCGCCACAGTAATGAGTTACGATTACTCTTTGAATAAATTGTACACACAAAAGTAAATCCATTGTAAGATTCAGAATCTATTACTTGAAAGTTGCGATAATAACATTTTTTGGCCACAACTTCTAAGTTATATAACCTTCCTGCTGTATATGGTAAAAGAATGTTGATTTTGTAAATATGTTTTTTAAATTTATCTTGTTTAATAATCTCATTCCAGACAATGTATAGTTATTTGCATTTTTTTTTTTTACATTTAACTTTTTTATATTACAGAAAAGAAAATTCTAATTAGATATATCGATACAGAGATATGCAATCATATCAGCTATCGGTCATAAATGTCCAGCTGTCTAAATGTACATGCAAAATATATGCATGAAGCTTTATTTAGTCCAGAGAGGGTACTGCAAAACTACAAACTGCTTTTTAACCAGTTTATAGTAAAGCAAGTAATTAGCTAATCTGGGGAAAATCGGTCCAACATATCGCCCAAAAAATATCGGCATATTTATGGATTCTAAACAAGCATATCGGCCATGAAAAAATGCATATCAATCCATCGATCTCTAATTACAATTCTACTTTAGTAAAATTTATTTCAACTATAGCAATCATTTATTGTTTGGCAAGTCCAGTCCCTGCTGGTGTTTAAACGTTGGCTCACAGCTCATCTGAAATCGCTAGTATAATTGTATTGAATAAACGGTGCTAACAAACAGGGTGGCTCTGCAGGTCAGGTCACTGGTGGAGTGCAGTGGTCTAATGACAGAGGTTCTGCTAATAGAGCAGTTCCTAAGATAGCCAGCACAGTCATTAGCCCTGCTGCACTGACCCCCTGTACTCTCCCTGTACTTCCTGTGTAGCTCAGACTCAGTGGGCGGGGCTTAACTTACACCTGCAGGTTAATCATCTCCGAGAGGATAGACAGAGGGACACAGGAGGAGAAATTGGACTAATGTGGTGTCAAGTAACAGAGTAAAAGTCCATTAAAAAGGAGCTATATGGTTTTAGGTGGAGGGTCTGAAACTTTATTTTCTCAGTAGAGATGGTGGTGTTTTGCCTGTTCCTGTTCCACAAAATACTGTGGAACATTCAAAGCATTACAATTTTTATAAGAAACAAATTGGTATCAGACCCTGGACCAGAAAAACATTTTTATAAAGTACTAATTAAACATATTAATAAAACTTAAATATGAAAATAAATCAATACTTAATAACATGTCACATTATAATTCTAAATCTACTGAAAAAAACTAATAATACCCCTAAAATTTAGCTTTTCATGGATTTCAGCCTGTTTACACCAGTGCTTCTTCATCATTTCCACTGGTCACATTTGACAACTTCCGATGAGCTTTCCGATCTGTTTGTGTGTACTCACCGTCACACGAGGTGAGGTTAGTCTCCCGTTTGAGCACCATCTCTGGAGGTTAATGAGGTTAAACATGTAATTTCTTTAGGGGAGTAAATTGTGAGTTTACAGGGAGGGCATTCTGGTCACGCACGGCTTTATATCACAGCCATAATGGAGGGCTGATGTGTTGTAAATTGGCTTAGATTATTGTCACAATGGTGTACTTCAAAGTCAATGTGAACACGCGCGCAGCATCGGGCCCTAACAAGCTCCTTCTGGGTCAGTGCACAAATCAAATAGACAGAACACAGCACTATGGCTCTGCTTGGGTAGTGCTGGATGTGATTGGCTGCAATTAATTGTCAAATGCATTGGAGCCCATTGCCAGATCATTGTGTACACACAAGCAGCGAGTGAATGCGTCCCTTGTTGATCGTAGGCCAGTGAGGATGCTAATTGAAAGTGTATGCGTGGTGTGCTTAATGCGTTTCGTGGCACTGCAAGGCAATCTAAATCACGCAAATGTGCTTATATTGTCTCAGATCCTGTTAAATCACATTTTCCTACAGTTGATGACCTCTTGAAATACCACAACATAAAGAGTAATGCAATTTGATCCAACATGCAGATGAAGATTGCTTTGGGTGAAAATCATTCTGGCACATATATAAGACAAGAGGCAGGTGAAAATGCCAATTGAAAGTGTACGTATTCCAGGTAATATTGCAAAAAATCTTAAACACACAGACTTTCTTTTATGAGATTCGATTTAGTAAAATAACTTTTCTCCAGCTGATGTTCTCCTCACACATGCACACATGTTCCACTTTATGATGTGATGTAGTAATACAGTAAGTGTTCCACTCTGCTTTTAAACTCCGTACACCTTCACTAGAATCATTTAGATAATTTCAGCCCTGTTAACTTAAAACCTGCTTCATGACATCAGAAGGTGGAACAGAGCATTTTGAGCTTTGGAGGTGTGGACAGACAAATAATGCAAGGCTACTCAAACATGTGTGAATGAAACAAAACACAGCTCCAGGTCTGTTTTTGATAAAGTAACAACATTCTAACTCACAAGAGTCAATTTGGCATAATATAGGATCTTTAACCCAAATTCTAACCATAACATAACCTATTTTAACCCAAACCTGGACTAAATCATGTTGTTGATCTAATAATATAGGTTTGCACCTTGCCTGGGGAGAAGCCATTGGATCCCCA